GGGATCAAAAGCTAGCTGAAGTAACAGTGGAGCGGATTTAACTTCGGAGTCATCTTTTTCTATTGTTACATACCCGCCTGACGCCTGATTAATCAAAACAGATGGTGGGTAAAACCCCTCTCGCAATAGTCGCCAAAGGCCAGATTATCGCATACTACAACATGAGACAACTTCGCTTTCTACAATTCATAATGAATATTGCGATTCAAGAACATTATTTGCGTACCAAGTCACATCATTTTCCAATTCTTTAGCCTGCTCAATATTCAGTCCAGTATCTGTTCTCTTAATGTATTCAACAACCATAGGAAAATCATCAGTGACCAATTGGCTCCAAATATCAGCCAGCACAATGCCTGCACTCTCAAAGTTTCGTTTTTCTAACTCCAAATCAATAGTTCCATTACTGCAAATGTTTTTGAGTTTTTCATTGATAATTCAAAGTCACGAAATTTAGAACCCCTTCCATCCCATTGTGACACAATATAACACTTCGTCGACCCCCCCACTTCCTACCCTTTTATGTGTAACGTAATTTATGGATGGTTCCTTACAAGAAGAAACGCACCAGGGCCATTTTCAGCTTGCGCATCAGGATCATCTTCAATTTGCGCATCGTATGAATATAGATCGCTTCGATCATTGCCGCATAACCTTTGATAATGGTTGTCGCAGTAGCAGACGAAACGTCGAGTATGGAAATCTGTAGACCACAGCTAATGAAACCGGAAATATCTGATAATTTATAAGAAAAATAATTGCAATATTATGACGAATGTTCGGTTATTTGTTTAGAGTTTCTACAAGTCTCAGGAAAGATACCAAATCTGTTTCCTATCTTCACTAGAACTGACAAATTACTCAAACCATATTAAAAAAGTTAACAATTGATTGACTTGATTTGATTTTAGGGTATTCATGGAGTTAACTTCTTTGGACCTGTGTTAATTGAAATAAAACCATCAACCAAACATTCTGAACCTGCTTGAGCCGTATTTTAATGATCCCAACACAGCAATCATATTTTTAAAACCTATATTGATATCATCGAAAACAACAAATTGAGCATATCTTTGAAAAGTAACTTCTACTTTCAACTATACTTGAAATTACTATATGACAACGCCGCATGTCACACAAACATTCCGTGCTCCAAGATCATTACGAGATCTTGTTGCTATTAGGTACGATATTCCAACATCCAATTATCTATATCTTCACTGTTTACAGAAGTATAAGCTCGAATTATAAGACAATCAAATCGCCTTAGAAAAACCCGTAGGATTGTTAGTTGTCTTTTCTCTTTCTCTCTTCGCCTAACGAAACACCTACGATGGATATCGTCGGCATTTTTTGCCTCCCGAACTAATTTCCTTTCACATTTTCCCGCGAGTCGTCGACCAAATCTAACTCGATAACAATAAAACTGATTTCCAGTTAATGATTTCCGAGTTAACGGCCGAAAAATTTTTGAATTAGTGCCCGTTCTTCGTTGAAGCAAATCGCGAAACAATAGACGGATCTGTATCTCGATTCATTGAGAAATTACTAATGACGAGTAGACGGGTTTTTTGTTTTTTTTTTGTTCCAAATCATGAAAATAATCTAAGAGATTCATGAGTCGATTCTTTTCGAAACTTCAACTAATTCAAATCATTATAACCTTTACAATTGTTGCATGATGATGTTATGTCGGCATAGATAGTGTTTTACATAAATAAAACGGGTACTTTATCCTTATTGGCATCTGCTGGATTTCCGAATATCCAGTAGAGTAGTAGACAAATACAAAATTATTACTTTTTGAGATCCCTTCACAAAGATACTGGTGGATATCCAGCTGATGTTATTATTCTAGTGAATTGAAACAAATTGGAAACTGATGCCTATAAAATCTTGTTTTTTGAACTTATAGAGCAGGTGCCAAGTTTTGCCTTCTAACACTGTCGCGTCTGAACGCGAAATAACAATCCAACATACAAAGACCATCGAAAAACTACCCCATAGAGTGATGGGTGTACATTTTCCAGAAGTTTTGAATTACCTTTTTAAAAACAGTTATAACTTTTTCTGTTTTTAGACAGGTTGGAAATATAATTTTTCAGGAACGAATGCTTGTTGTCTCATCGGATCCTAAAGATGATTTGATTTAGAGTTTCGTTTTCAACAACGTCCAAGACATTGGTCTTAGAAGAAAAGTGTGGCTACATTAATTTCCTTTCCGAAATTGAACATATCATTTCTAGAGAAAATCTTCTGTTTCAAATTTATTGGAGTATTTTTGAAAGAGTAATTGAAGCTATCAGCTTCAATTTCCCGGTATTCTGATGCTATTATAATTCACTGTCACGTTTTTGGGTGCAGTTTTTAGAACAAGGTAAAATAGTCATTTTCCAGGACTTCCAGGTTTTCTCCGAAATGAACTTCCAGAATTTCTCCGAACTGTTTTGAAATTGGTTTTCCTGTTAACCAGCTCTCTATTCCTCATATTTCAAAACTCCTACAAACTGAGAAATGTGGAAAATTATTTGTTGGCATGTGTAGTAATACTCTTTCATTTGGCTCTTTATATTAGACTGTTTACTCATCTTGGATCCATCTCAGCTTTGCCATATTTGTTGTATTTCTCCGGTTATTATTTTATGACTTCAAACTACTTGTGTGTCATCCAATATTGTTGAACCAAGAAATTAATTGACACACTTTAATTTCAAGTATAGAACTGTTTTCGAATAATGACGCGATTATTATATGAATACATATATTATTTAGAAATGTTCTGTTCTGAAAACTTTTTGCAACCTATTAAGCCATGTACAATTTGATTTTGATCATATTGTGTTTCATGCTCCGTTACAATAGCTTCAGGTTCGATGATTAGAATATTTCACAGAGAAGTACGTGCTGGTGAAATGAAAGGCTGACGCTCTGCGATTCTGGCAATACCTGTTACAGACGAAAAGCTGGGAAGGGGTAAAGGGAGTAGACAGAGGGCAAATGGTAAAAACAAAGGCAAACCGGAAACAATCAGATAAGCGCGGGTCAGCGAAAGTTTCCGTTCCTATTGAAAATCAACAATGTGTAACGTTCCAGCATCCGTTTTAAATAAACCATTGTGAAATCACCTGATTTAATGACACTTTGCATTGCTCCGAGGCTTATTACGAGTTCTCGTGATGTATGCGACATATTGTTATCGAGATTGTCGACCGAGGAGTACCTAGTCATCCGAAACTATTGGTCCACGTTTTGAGATTCATAGCCTGGAATGCTTGACACAATTCAATGAATACTTGAAACTTCTTCTCCAATATGTCATCCTCATTCTAAAATATTGGAACTGGACGGAATAATAATAGTATATTATTCAACGAACGAGAAATACGGTCATTACTCGTAAGAATGAAATTAACCATAAATTATTAAAGTGCGTATAACATGAATATTTTGAAATAAGTTTTAATATCATTCAATTTCACAACAATTAATAACCTAACAAAATATTCGAACATATTTGCCATTTATGTTATTTTATTCAATTGCAAATAATTTGAATATTGAGTGATCGAAAAAATAAAAACTCAACAGTTGATGAGACTTGAACACAAGATCACTGACATTCCAATCCAAAGTTCTGACCACTATTCCAATTAGCACCTTAAAAATAAGTTATCGAGTTGACGAAGTTTCAAAAAATATAAGTCTTTTATGCCACATTACAAAATTTCACTGCCAAATCCTTTTTATTCCTGTCTTTCGTTAAAAACTGTATATTTCAAAACGAAATGTCGATTTTTAATTTTATGCTTATGTAATTCTAGGTGATTTTCATTATAGAAGATAATTCCATTATCCCAGGCTCAAATAAATACATTTTTCTAAAAATAACCATATTGTATTATTCTTCAGGTTTGTTTTATTCATGACTTTCACCATGGAAATAGATGTGTTCTTTCCTGAAACTAATTCAGGCACTTTTAATGAATCTTTTTTGATCCAATAATCAAGTGAGTAGTAGTGCGACTGTACAAGACCATGGCAAGATTTCAAAGGATTGCAAATCTCATCTCATGCCTATATTACAGTTACGTAAATCATTTCAATAATATATAATATTTCTTTTTGTCAACATTCAGTGTTAACTTGTTTCATGAACGATAATTTCTGAAATATTTTTCTGTTTTTGTTTTCGATTTTCATCATGCATCTGCGTTATTAAAAATGCTCGTATCATTCTCAAGTCTACTTAGTTGATTAACTATTGTTATATAAAGAGAAAAACGTTGGACCTGAAACCGTTCCCTGAAGTATACCGCAAATTATTGTTTTCCCGCTATATTCTTCTGTGAATATATTTCAATTGCTTCGATTCCTACGGCTCACCTTGTATGCCCAAATTTTGAAAAACCCCTGAAGTTCTTAGAGGGCGTAAAGGTTGACAAATATGTCTGAAGGTTGTTTGGAATCACTTATATTTGCAAATAACTAACTGTTATTAGGTTTCTTTCTTCAGTAATTATAAGTTTAGAAAGCAGCAGTTCTTGTTTGTATTTCAATTTCTGAGAATCTTACAAAAAAAGTATAAGATCAGGAAATGTCTCCATTCATGTTTGCCCATTTTGTATTAATTATCAAGGCATAAAAACGGTCAAAATCAACCGTATGTCAGACTGAATTCAATTGATGAAGAAAATGATATACTGTCAACTGCGAAAATTCAAAAATATATATAATGCACTGCAATCTTATATATACATGTTTGGATGAACCATTTCGTCCAATAGTAACGACTCCCGTTTTTTTGTCATGTACAAGAAAGTTACCAAATTATTTTTGCGTTTATAATTTACGGTATGTTCGTAATTGTATAGCACTCGACGAAATTAATGGGTATCAAAAATATCAAAACATACTTCCAATTAAATTATATTATATCTGATCATTCGGAAAAAATCTGTAAATATTCCGCATCTGTTCATTGTGTATTTTTCTTGTTTCAGATCCCAGGGAATGGACGGAAAACCATGTGGCCCATTGGTTACATTGGGCCGCCAAAGAGTTTTCCCTGGACTGCATACCCCTGAATCAGCTCAGAATGAAAGGGAAAGACATCTGCTCAATGGGAAAAGACGCTTTTTCCGCCAGGGCTCCTGCTTTCGTCGGAGACATCCTGTGGGAACATTTGGACCTCTTACAAAAAGGTACGTGTAGAAATTCGTTTCATAATAATGAAATGATAATCGTTCCTAAAAACTATACCCCTTTCAATTTTCATTTTCTGATTTGTTCGATGAATAGATTACACAATAATCTGCAAATATGATTGCCATGAGAGTTAGCCGAATTCTTGGTATCATCCGAGAGTTAATTATGGCATATATATCCAGTATATTCAATTTTTCTGTTGTATAAAACAGTGGGCAGTAATTGACCCCTTTCATTCATCAAGTAATAGGTTATGTTTTTGTGAATAAAAAAACACGCGCTTCTAGAACGGTTATGATTCAGAATTTTTTACAAAATTCATTATGAGAGTTTTTATTACTCAATTAAGGCATGATTCTCATATCGCACTTCTGCTAGGTTAATACTATCGTCTTACAGGTACCTGTTCTACAACACTCCCTTCTGGGAATTCACATAATGTAAGGATATTATTATATTTTCACTACAATAAGATATGCATTTTAAAGCTTAATAGTCCCTTCTTATTTCGATGAATATATTATTCTAGAATCTAAGCAAATTGCCAGCAAAGCCACATTGCAGAAGGTACTTCTTCATTCTCAATGTTTTCAAAGAAGTACAATTTTTTGTAGCAAATCAAATACAATAATTTTAGTCGTAACTCTGTTCAATTGTAATTTACTTTATTTTACCATTTTATATATTGATATGTTTTCCGCTGTTATTTCAAAATCGTATAGGTCCTTTTCAACAAAAAGAATTTTGGTGTAATCCCCATAACAAGTCGCATAGACTGCACACATTTTTGAAGAAAAGTCAACAATGCGTGGCCAAAAACTAAGAAGAGAAACGATCTCAGAATGATTCCTTGTAGAACACCAATAATATAATATCTATAATTCTAATGCTGTAAGGCTAGAATTATTGTACCATGTTTTCAAAGTTTTTCCAACAGCAATTGGTAGTCCACACAGTCAAAATCGCGCGAGAAAAAGACGCATTGTCACTAAGAATACTATAATAATCCTAATGCAAAAACAAATATAATTTTACATTATTCTAGAGGAAGAATAATATATTATATCGAAAATGAATTTCACTTATTACTGTAGTAACACAAGCTTAGAAGTTTGGGATGATTTTCTTATATTGAACTTGTTATTTATTGTTGACCATCGGGGTGGTCAACTATGAAACGAGGCGGTTTCAAAGTGAGAAAACAACTGTAAGAAAAAAGTGACAATAATACAGGTATTGGGGGTGCCACCCCGTGTCCTCAAAATTCCCGCGTATATTTTTATCGGATAGTTTATAAAAAGCGGAGGAACTTGTCATAATTCATTATTTCACTACGGATAAGAATATTTGTTAACCGAACGAGCTCGTGTCGTAATAATCGATTTTTTATTGTTATTATTACCCAGAAACTCATACCCGATGGTTATCACTATTGTTCGATCGGTTGTTAGTTAATTCCCGATAATTTTATCACATTTACCTTGATCTATGCCAATATTACTCCGATATAAGAACTGTTTGCGTCAAAGATGACGAAAATGATACGTTATAACATGTGCTTATAAATGAATTACTTCTACCGTGACGATTCGTGCTTCGAATGTAATCCGCGCCATTAGAATATGGTTTTGGCTCGGTATCGACCACTAAATCAACCAATGATTCATTATTGCCATACATGAAAACAAAAATGTTTCAAAGGCGCCTCAAAACATAGGAGGAGTCTGATTAGATTTCTAGTTGAAGATGTGCCCTGTTTGGTAGTGAAGTACAATATTTGAATCGAAAGTATGCATTATATTCAATATGTGATGTCCCTCGGGGAACCGTCTTTGGTCCTCTTCTATTAACAATACATCTGAATTGTCTACTTAAATTAAAATATAAAGGAAATATAAATAGTTTTGCTGATGACATTAATGTCTGAAGCAGAAACATAGGCTGAGCTTAAAACGAAAGCTGAAAGGGAATAAAAGCAGAATAAACCAGAAAGTCGTATCCTAGGTTTTCACTTTTGAATAACATTATCAAAACCCTCAAAAAGTTATAGTAATAATTCACTTACTTTACAAATACTGATTATCTGCATTTCATTTGTCTTTTTCAGATGTGGAAAAAGAGAGAGCGCTAAACAACTCTGTCGAAACTACTAACTTGTACGAGCCAATGTGCGTTCCAGAACTAACTTATATTGATTATACGCAAGCACCTGGAGTCTTACAAGACGAATCCCGGAAACCGGTGTCTGTTCATTCGCCAGTTCCTCAGAATAATTCGAACCCTCCTCCTACGAACAACAATTTCCTACACGAGGGTAAGTCATCATAAGGTTTCATGTGATATATTCACTAGATGCAATAATTAATCCCGTCATTCGATTAGGTTTACATTATCAAAGCATTAGAGTGATTATTTGATTATTCCCAATAATTTACCCAATATTGAGAGATATAATGAGAATCAATAGAACAATGTTCTTTTTTTTCAAACTTGACTGTTTATTCAAGTTATATTTATCAAATGAATAGTATCTCAATTGTTATGATAAGGGTTCGACAAAAAATTGACGTCGGAAGATTAGCAGTTTATGGACCTTCGAGCCGGATAGTGATATTGATACCCTCTATCAGTGAAACAGAATATGATTCTGCTGTTCACTTTTATTCTGAGTTCAGTTATTGGCAAATATTCGTCGTGTAAGGTAGTCATGAAGCAAATCGTTAATTATTTTCTGACCCATTTTTTACGTTTTTTCACGGTTGTGACCAACCGTTTTCCATTTCATAAACAGCGTTAAAGTGTACGAAACAAAAAGATTCATATCTGCCGTCGGTATATGGAATTATTAAATGAAATTTTGCAATTAAAAATCATCGGTTACGGATTGGAGAATCCGAAAGTTTTGCTATTACTTAATCCAGGTTAATGCGTTAAAGCTCAACGTGTGTGATTGTTATGTCTGGTCAATTGACGACGTTTTCATATTTCTGTAAAGAGTTCGTATGGTTCAAGGTGGTTTGTCACACGTCGATGGTTGGTGTTTCGTTTTTTCTTTTCATGTTTTGTAAGGTTTTTGTAATTATTAATGAATAGATAATGCGTTATTTGAATTACAAATTCGAATGCGGCCTGTAAACAATGGTCTCGAGTTTCTTTTCTACCCATGGATATCGACCGAATCTACGTATTTTATTCGTGATGGAATTTTTCCGAACATCAGGTGTATTAATAAACGTAAAAATTCTCCAGTACTTCGTGTGTTGAATAACTTTTCGGTTCCTGGGTCTTGAATTCTTGAAAAAACCTTCGATTATGTCGATGAAATTGTAGGGCATTTACAGTTAACAAGTTCTCTATCCGAATCAACTCGAATATTATTCGCATATCGTTTCGGGATATTTGTTCGTCATCAATATAAGGTATTCAACAAATACAGCGAATTCCATCATCAATTTTTACTTGAACCAATAAAAATTCATTACAAATGGAAATTGTTGAGAAACATCTTTATTTTTGAATTATGGAAAGCCCAAATTTTTAATACTCTACAAAGTAATTAACCGGATAGTTGTTGAACCTTATTTTGAAGAGTCTTTTGTCGAAACCTACCAGGGCGGTTCAAAAGTGTGCTGAATGAGCTACATTGATGTACGGAATCAAAATCATTATGATGTGAATTGTTTTAATCGTCTGAATGTACAAGAATCAACAAAAAAGTTGGCATTAGGGATTGAACAAAATGTTCCTTGTGGCCTTGTGGCCTTACGAACGGGGTCGCCGGACTCCTGGGTCAGTGGCAGATTGTTCGTAGAAAGAAAATACATTATAATACAAAAATTTTGATGAAGGGTCATTAGTGTGAAATCCGCTCAAGATTCATTCGTTTTTCCCCTCACAAGAAACATTTTATTTTTTTTTATAATCAAATAACATGGTTGTCACTTCCATGGGTTAAGATGCAAATTATGAGAGTATGCTTTGCATCCACAGTTGGGAAGATGGTCTATCATTGTTGAAAGAGCAGGCAATTTGCTTATTATTATATTTGTATGTTCGCATTTGGATATTTGATCTTTGATGATCATTAGTGAAGTTTTCACGAGGAATGACAAAGACATTTTTGAAACTCTAAAGAAAAGCTTTGTTTCTACCCGGGTCCCATTTACAAAGGCAATAACGATGTTAGATCATAAAACACTACCCTGAAGGACACCGGTCTTAGTAGGTAAACACCGGGTCCATTCCATCTCTTCCTTTTAATTGAGATGAGATTGCTGATTGTCTTCAGATTCAGGGTATTCCCCCTGAATATTTCAATTCCTTCTTCTTACCACCAAACTAGATCAATAGTAATCCACGAGATCCATAATGGTGAGAGATATCAATCTTTAAACAATTTCACGTGTACATCGCCATTCTATGATAATTTCGCTCATATTCCTCAAAAAATATATAAACAATGAAAACGAGGATAAACCCGATAGTGAAAGTGAGATAAGAAATATTATTGCATGCATCGAGCGAGGTATTGCTTCAAATCTTCGGACATGGTCCGTTTCCTTTCCAACAATGCCAATGCTGCTCTCTATTTCGTACCTTCTGCTTCTACTTCTTCTTTCATAATGGTCGAATAGTTGGCCATTTTTTCGTATTTAGTACGCTGATGGTTCCATTCGCGGTGCGATGTTAGATTGTCCCATTGTGTGAAACACGGTTCGGTGTTTTCGCGTACTTCGCAAATGGTTTCGCGAGAAAGTTGCTATTTGGTGTGCAGTTTCGAAGGATTTCATTACCATGGCGATTATATTCAGAGGTTAGTACTAATGAATAAAATCTCACCACCAGATTCACAATCATGCGAAACAATTGATGGCTATTCTCACAATAAAGTTGGAACAGAAATTATTTGAAAAATCAACTACATTCAAACGTAACCTCAAAAATATTCATTATCTTGAAGCTTCGCAATCCCATTAAAAGCACATTTCCACTTTGAGGCTATCCGCACAAAGACAGGTTAATACTATCGTTGTCTCTTGGGAATTATAATAATAAAGAAGATATTTAACTGCCATGAAAAATGCTTTTCAATAACCATTTTTACACTTTCAAAATTTTAGAGTGAATTATTACTCTTAGGTTATGTAGCACAAATATTTTTTAAATAATCTTCCAACATTTAGGATATTTTTTGTAAATTAATAATAAACTGATGGCTGTTGCTATTAGGTTTGTTCTGGTTCTAACATCCGAAACTGTTTGGAAACTGCGCAAGATATGACGCATACAAACAAAAAACCTCAAACAGTCCGAAATAGTCTCGGGCACTTGTTTAAACCAGAACCCTTTTGAGGAGGCCACTGTGCCACCTATCGTATATATGAAGAGATGAAGACAAGAAAATAGCGTATCCTTATAGTCATTTCAAATGTTGTCTACCCTCAATCATCAATTATTCAAATCAAATAATTGAAAAAACATCCTAGCAAATAGCACAAACAAATTTCCACATGAATCCGCATGAGCAACGAGAACAGTTCTCAACAGTTCAGTCTTGAGAGCAAGAACGATTCTGGACGGTTCAAAACAGTTTAGGATCATTACACAGTCGAAACCAGAACAGACTCATCAGTCCGAAATTATCCTTAATAAACCAGAACGCTCTATATCAGCTTCGCATGATCCTGACGTCCAAAAACCTGAATTTCGTAGAACCAGAACAAACCTATTGTCAGCAACTCTATCGAAGTTGTTTAGTTGGCGAAACTGTTAGTCTATTTTGTTGGTTGACTGTTCAGTGATGATAATTTTCAATCAATTATTCTTATAGTGCTAGTTGTGTTCTATAGATTTTGGGTATCTACATTAGAGGAAATCAAGGAGTGGCAAATCTGGTGACCGCGGAAGCCATTCAGTATTGCCTCTTTCACCAGTTTGATGAAGGTCAATTCATGTTTCAAGGAATTATATGTTGATTATTCACCATTTTCAATGGCAATGTATTGCAAGAAGAGGCGGCATTGAATGGATTCACATTATTTGTATATAAAATACTTGTAATACATTAGGGACCTAATGAGACACTTGAGTTTTAACGTGCGATCACAAGCACAGTCAAGAATAATGCAATCGCTTCAAGCAGTATATAGAAAGTAACCAAGTGAATCCGTAAATGAAGAAAATACATTTTAGTTCATCATTAATCATTATTTTAAAGTCATATTATCAAATATTTGATTAAATACAACACATTTTTATATAAAGATAGTAGGAAATAAGGTACTTTTATATGAGGACGATGAAAAACTCAATCCTAAACTCAAATATGAAGTCAGGTCTACAAAAGCTTTTTGTTTTAGAGCCAACTCCGACATCGACCTCAAAATTGGAAATCGCTTTCTGTCTCAGTGTAGCTTTCAATGCAGATCACTACTTCTGCGTTACAATCGTGATCCAGTAACACCTTATTGATCACTCACCCAAGCATGCATTGAAGGCAGATGAGCTCAAACCGTGTCCAATTAATAGAGTAGGCTACTCAATCAAAGAAATTGTTTTTCAAATGAATATTTCCTTGAAAAGATTTTGGGAAGTACATATTTTCCTAGAAGAATTCTTTTCAAGTTTTTCTGTCCATTTTTTACCGGCTAGCAGTCCTTAATTAGTTAATTGAATTTTCCTCTCACTCTACGTGAAAGATGCGTAATTTCCTTTTAACTTTCGTCAATTCGGCTTTTAGAAAATCTGTAAAAGTATATCGCTGGCTGTGAAAGTTTTGTGGTAAGTTTATTTTCGGGCTAATGCAATTTAATTTTCTTGTCGAATGCATTATCAAATGAGTAGAAGTCGTAATAAATGAACTTTCATTTCCAACAGAAACGAAAAGTGAACAAAAACCCATGTTTTGAAATACAGCTACACTATATCTGATCAAAAAAGTCTAAGTAATCTATTGTAGGTTACCATTCGAAGGAAAATAAAACAGGAAAAATAACTTTTATCAGTATAATCTTGATGCCTTTAGAGAGTGTTATAAACAAATATTTCAAGTACCTGCATTTTAGAGAACACAAGGAACCATTTCATAAGTTGAATTTTACCTGCTTATAAAAATAGTTTCATTGAAAACAAGAAACGAGTTATTGTAATTTATGTTTCTTGATGAAAATAGAGATTATGTAAACTAGATCTTTTGAGGGGTCTTACTGAAATTGTTCGGTGAGATGTGATATTTATTGTCTTACAGAATATCGCAGAAGTGAATTAAAATATACAGTGCATTTCTTTAATGTCCCCCTTCCCTTTTATTTTTTG